ATCCCAATAATGCTTGGAGTTGTAAAAAGTAAAACTAGAATAGATGCAATTGACTTCCAAGAACTGCAGGAATCGAGTTTTATATCATCCGAGCTATCGTTAAAAGGAAAAAGAAGAAAGAAGAAGAAGAAGAAGAAGAAGAAGAAAAGAAAACAATCTCTAAGTTTCACAAACACTTTGTGTAATCTTCATTACACTTTTCAGCTGATACAAAATAAGCCATCCCCTGATAACCTCTACTCAAATCCTTATACATAAACGCATTCGGCAAAATCCCCATCTTTACCATATCTGCCTGCACCATCATAACAGCAAACACATGCTCGGCCCGAAAATGCCCTTCCACAATGGCAGCATAATCCGATACCTCCGGACATAAACCACTCTTCCTCATGTCTGCAAAAAACTTGCTCGCCTGGAAAACCCGACCATTTTTACACAAAGCACCAATCAGAATCGAATAATTAACTTTGTTGGGGCAGTTATTGTTCCTACTTTGTTCCAAGAAAAAATTAATTGCATTATTGATCCTTCCTTCCCTGCAAAGCCCATCAATAACGCAACTAACCGTGAAAACATTAGAAGCAACCCCAGAATTCTTCATTTCTTTGTACAGATTAAGAGCTGCATCAGCATAGCCATTCTTGAAATGTCCATCGATTAAAGCTGTAAAAGCCACCACATCTGGCTTGTAGCCTTTAACAGCCATTTCATAATAAAGCCCCATGGCAGCCTCGAGCTGGCCGACTTTGCAATACCCGTTAATCAATATACAAAATGTAACCGTATCGGGCTGAACGCCATTTTCCATCATTTTTGAACAAATCTCCACAGCTTTAGCCAAATTTTGTTTTTTACAGTACCCATCCATTAGTGTGTTGTAGAGTACAGAGTTTGCCACTAGTCCTGTTTTATTCATTTTAGAGAATAGAAGACTCTCTGCATCCTCAGCCCTACCGATTTTACAATAGCCTTTCACGAGAATGCCGTACGTGAAAATATCCGGGCAAATACCGAATCTTTCCATCTCCGTAAAAATGTCCATGGCGGCAGATAAGTTGCCTGAATTACAAAAGCCTTCCATCAAGCAATTATACACGTAAACATTAGGAACGACATTTAACTTCACCATATGCACGAAGAAGCTCCTAAAAGCCTCAACCTCACCAATTTTGCAGAGCAAGTATATCATGATACTAAAGGTGATACAATTTGGCAGAACTTGTTTATTATCCAACATTTCGTAATACAATTCAAGCGTCTTCTTGAAATTAGCCATCTTAGCATACCCATCCATTAAGGAATTGTAGGTGTACAGATTAGGGGCCACATCCGAACCACGCATTCTTATAAAAATGCCTTCTGCTTCCAAAATCTTGCCTTCCATGCATAATCCACGCACGAGTGTCGTGTAAATAACAACCGTCGGTTTTAGTCCCTTCTCGATCATCTCCTCAAGCAACAATTTTGCCTTCTCAAGATTCCTTTTTTCACAAGCAGCATCGATTAGAATCCCATAAGTCACCTCACTAGGCATTAAGCCATTCAAGACCATGTTTTCATAAACCTCCCACATGAAATCGAGACGGCCCGTTTTAAGTATACCGTTCAAGAGCGCATTACATGCTTGTACAGCAGGAAGTTTCCCAATCTTGGAATAAACCCAATAACCCTCGTCAGCAAGACCCTTTTCGCATAAAGCTCCAATCAACACTCCATACACATTCGAATCACTTCCCGACGTATGAACCTGACCGAGCGCATTGAAAATCGACGAACACACCTTGTGGGGTCTCCGGTTTTTACTCAGAGTCTCGATGAGGTCTTTTATCAAACACCTTGCCTGCACGTAGACCTTAGCTCGAGTGAGGAAGCAGACGATGGCCGAGTGAAGTTTCAGAGTTTTCGCAGGGTTTATGGTTCTCGAGGCCGAGTTGAAGATCCTCAGAGCCTGTCTTGGATTCGGGGAATTGAGTATGGCGGCGGCTAGATTCGAGAGGTACGGCGATGGAGGTGGCGATTGTGCTGCAGAAGAAGAATACAGCAGAGCTAATGGAGATGGGTTATTGCTGATAAAGGGCTTCGTTTTTGGAGGAGAAAGCTTCGATATTCCTGCCGCCATAGCCGGAAATCTCGTTTTCCATTAAGAATTGGGTTTACACAGTAGCCGCCTAAGTATGATTCGGGTTTTACTGACCGCCATTAGTGGACGGGTCCTGCAGATTGATCTTTATGTGCCACCACTGGTTTTACTGATTAGAGGCTTGCAGGCGGTGAAATGAAAGTGCCGACGGCCGTTTCTTTTTATGCGATGTATAGAGATACTCGTTTAAAATTATCTTTTTTCTTACTAATAATACATTTACATAAAACTTTAGAGGTGAAATTTCACTTTGGTGAGCCAACCTTTTATATTATATACAACAAGTAAATTTACCATATTCTCTGATTATTTAAATAACATTAATATAATTTTATTAATATGGTAAATTTGTTTATTGTATATAGAAAGTAGTGGAGCTAACGGTTAGCTTTATAGCAAAACCGCACTTTGGTATTGACTAGTACGTACCCCGTGCGATACACGGGACATAGATATTAAATGAGTTATTTTCACAACCTTTTCCTTTTAAGTCTAAAAAGTAATAGAGTTATTATCTATTTTCTACATATTTTGTCAACGTTAAGTTTGAAAAATAATAGGGTTATAAACTTTTATTTTTACAGTCTTGTCCGTTTAAGTCTAAAAAGTAATAGGGTTATTATCATTTTCTACATATTTTATCAACGTTAAGTCTAAAACACAATAGGGTTATAAACTTTTTCCACATTTGATAGAGATATTAAATGAGTTATTCTCACAGTCTTGTATGTTTAAGTCTAAAAAGTAATAAGGTTTATTTATTTTTCTACCTCTTTTAATCAACGTTAAGTCTAAAAAATAATTGGGTTATATGTTTTTTTTTTCTAAATCTTTTAACCAGCATTGTCTTTTTAGCCAAAACATTAAATATGAGCACGTTAAGGCTAGCTTGTAAAATAATTAATATATTATCTCATTAAAACATTTATACTAATAAAAACTTAATTTTAGCATATAAATTTATCTCTTGATATAAGAGACTCGAAAGGAGTAATGTTCCCCTATCCACGGTGGACATATTAACATGTGTTAACCGTGGGTAGGGGAGCGTTACTCTAAGAGAGTAACAGTTTTACTTATTCTTCTTCACTATTCAATATTTAATTATTATTTTAATTAAAAAATTGTATTATATTGGAGCGTATTTATAAATTAAATTGTATGATTTTTAAAGAAAAATAAGAAAACTACTATTTATGATTTCACACTTATATCAGGGTGAGCAACAATGAAATTTGGTGCAAAATCGAAAAAAAAAAAAAATGTCAAATCTGGAATATTTTTAAATTGAATTGTACAACACATGAAAAAATGATCAAAATAAAAGTTTCTACATTAAGAATAATCGAACAATACTCGATTTTTTGGTAGTTTTATACATTTGGGTTGAATTCGTAAAAAATCATATCGAATTGAAAAAAAATAAAAAAAATTCAAAATTCGAGTTGGTGGATAAAATAACGAATCGTACAACAACACATAAAAACTAAATCTAAAATTAGATGTGAACAGAGCTGATATGGTATGAGATCGGTGACTCCGGTCTTGCGGAGGGTTCTTCCCGGTTATGAGGTTGGCTCGCGTGATTCAGTCCGGTTCGAGCTTGAGCGTTCTCCGGTACCTGAAAGCGCGCCGGAATTTCTCCGGCGCAAGCCCTCCGACGCCCAAGTTAGGATCTCGGATTTAGAGAGAGAATTGTGTGTAATAAATGTTGTAGTAATGATATTAATGAAGTCTTCCCTAATACCTGCGGAATTCAACGTATATATAGCATTTAATTGTATGAACTTTCCTATAGGGTCATAAGCGCTCGGGTATCTACCGGCCGAGTGTAATTCGGTCGATGCCCGAACAAATGGGTCGACGTTCGACCCATCTCACCCTTTGTCGCGTGCTCGGCCCTAAAACGTGTAAGATCGTTTGAGCTGGTCGAGCTCCCCCACGACCCCTCTCACTCGGCTCGGCCGTTATCTTCGACCCTAGGACGTGGAAGATCGTTATCTTCGACCCTTTGCCATGTGTTCGACCCTAGGACGTGTAAGACCGTTTGAGTCGGTTGAGCTCCTCTACGACCCTCTCATCCGGCATGGCCGTTAAGCCTATTGGACCCTTTGTTCGGTTAACTCGAGTTGACGGTATAATCCCTATCAAGAGCCAAGCGCACATATTATAATCGAGTCGAATTATGCCATATGGTGCGGTGATTTTTATTTTATAAATGTGAAGATTTTTGGTTTAGTTTTTTTCCCTATAATGGGGTTATTTCCGTTATCATTTTTCATAAATTCATTTTTCAATTATGTTCAGTGCGGTTTTGTACCGAACCCTACCTAATGAAACATAAATGTGTAGTGTAAGAAACTGGTTGAAAAACAAGTGCGGTCCCACTAACATGAAGCGCACCATGAGCGGGGAAAAACCCGTATGAAGCCCAAGTGGGGTTCCATCCCAAAACCAATTGGTGGAAGGAGGAGTAGCCCATTAGACTTATAAGGTGTGTCTATTTTCCATGTATGAACGATGTGGGACAACTCACAAGTGATATTCTAACACGCCCCCTCACTTGTGAGTCCTTCGGAAGCCCATGCCCAACTGGGTGCCCCAAGCCTACTAGAAGTAAACTCCCATAAACGGGTACGTGGGGAAGCAGACTCTCATAAACGGATGCGAGAAGCCCAAGCCCAACTGGGTACCCCACGCCTACTAGAAGTAGACTCCCATAAACGGGTACGTGGGGAAGCAGACTCCAATAAACGGGTACGTCATCGCACGGTCCCAATAGAACCGAGCTCTGATACCATTTAAGAAACTGGGGGAAAAACGGGTGTGGGCCCACTAACATGAAACGCACCATGAGCGGGGAAAAACCCGTATGAAGCCCAAGTGAGGTTGCATCCCAAAACCAATTGGTGGAAGGATGAGTAGCCCATTAGACTTATAAGGTGGGTCTATTTTCCATTTATGAACGATGTGGGACAACTCAAAAGTGATATTCTAACATGTAGAAAAGTTAAGTTGAAGCAAAAACTAAGTCAAACCATGCATTACAGTACGGGGCTGATTGTTTATGAATTCATCTAGTTTTTAACTAGTCTTTTTAACTATAGTTACTTTTGAAAAAAGTTGGTATAGTTAGTTGTTAGTAAATATATTAAAATAATAATTAAAATAAAATAATTAAAGCTGATATGATGTAAAAGTAAGAGAAAAATGATTGGAGGTGATAGTTAGTTAAAATTATGTGAGTAGATGAATAGTTAATTAAAGTTGATGTGATGTATAAGAATGATTGGTTGGATGATTGGTTAGTATTATTTAATTATATTGATAATATTGGAGATAGTTGGTTGAGTTAAAGTTGAGTTAAATTTGAGTTTTGATTTGTTTTTTTT